GTAAAGCAAAGACAAATTATGTCGATCAAGTCCACTTTTTGATATTGTTAAAAAATCAAAATTAAGTGGAACAAAAAATGCATAAAGCTGAACTTAAATAACGGGATAATCCTGGTCATCTGGGAAATTTTACGATCCGAATGGTTTCAATTCCATGGCAATTATTCCATATTTTATCTTCTTCGGATCGATAAGTAAACATCTGCTGGAATATTATAAATTAGAGAGATCGGAGCAATGCCGATCAGGTCCATTAACTAGTACGTTTTGATAATGTTTGTTTTGTATTTTAAGACTTTAAAGTAAAAGTAATTACAGATTCAATATCCTCAAAATTAAGTGGAGCACAAAATGGAATAGAATTGTTCAGATATAGCTGAACTTAAAATGGCGGGATATTCCTGTTAAAGGTATGATGTCTGGTCACCTATGAATCTTCAAGATCCGAATGGTTTAAATTCCATGGTTATTCTTCCGAATGAATACACAGGCCACAAAATTTTTAACCAAGTGACCAAAATATACTTTTGATTGAGCCACGTTGAACCCGAATCTCCATCACATCTAGGATTTGAGATATCGCACATTTTGAGACGTTATAACATCGACAAGATAACGTAATTTAGAAAATGTTGTATGCCATCTGAAAGTCCATTCTATCAGCTTTATAATAGAGGCTCAACATCTGACATATCTTCTATCTTCTTCAACTTTCAGATGGAATACAACATTTTAAAAATAAAGTTGTCTTGGAGATGTTAGAACGAAAGAGCCTAAAATAGAGTTCTTTTAAATTTCACGACACGATATATCAAATCTGAGGTTACATTCGAAATCAGCATGGCTCAATCCTATAGAAGCGTCTAACTTGGTCTCAGGGTTTTGACTTTTTTCAAATTCTTCTTTATGTTCTTCGTATTCAGTGTAAAGGAATATGTATATAAGTTGGTCATTCCATTTGTAACTTCCATAATATATTTTTCCGATCATATAAAAGTATTTTTATTCTAGATCCTTATATAGCGAATTTGATTAAGCTAAATCCGTCTGTCCTATAAAATAATTTTCCTGAAGACCTCAGATATCTCATTCAAATCAATTCAATAATTCTATTAGAATTTTCCGAAGAAACTTATAAAAATATTTTCATAAAAGTTATGAACTTTTATGATTACATACATCTAGGCCTCTAGAAGGCCTGTTGTGGGTTTGATGATGAAATAATATTTTAACAATTGACTCAATTGATCAATTAAGATGTTTAATTTTACTTTTTAAAACATTGTTGGACATTGAACTTTAAAAAAAAATGTTAATGACTTATTGATAAACAATAATTCACATAATAGGAACCTATACTGGAAACAGTTTTCAGACAATTTCTCTTTACTGATTTTTTCGCAACACATTGTAAATTCTGTCATTATAAATTCTGCTAACACAACTTTATACTTTTTTTATGGACATATAGACAAGCACAATAATTTGTATTTACAGAATATCTAATTTGTATCTATAAACTACAATTATATATTAATTTAAAAAAAATAAATGTCTATACGACAGAAACAGGTGTTTCCTTTAACTACTTACGAGGCATTTTCTCTGGCGGTATAGGAATTGTGTGTGCCATTTGTGGTATCAGTGCCATTGGTGGAGGATTTGGCTTTGGTGATGAGACAAGTACCTTTGATATCGAAACCGGTCATGTTGTTAAACTTTTTTTTTTATAAATCAAACTATTTAAAATATTTTAAAACTTAAATAAATGTTTTGCTTAAGTTTTTCAAAGTTTTTTTTTAAGAAAAAGATCTTGTTATGTTAATTTTTTTAAGTTTGTCAATTTCTAGAAATTTCAATAGATTTTTTAATAATTTGTTTGTTAATTTTTTTCCAATAATTTTTTTTATTTTTTTCTGTTTGTTGTTTTTTTTTCTTCTTCAGTGTGAGCACTTTTTTTCTATGATGTTGACTATTTCAAGTTTGTTTGTTAACTGATCTATTTGACAGTGTTGTGGCCTCTATTTATAAGAAACCACTTGTTTTGTTATTATTGTTCTTCATCAGTTTACTTACTCGTATTTTACTGTTTTCATACTCATACTCATATTTCAATCGTTTACACTCGTGCTGATCGTCTGTAGTTTGTTTTCTTTTTCTTTTTTTTTTTTGTTGATATTCTGATTCTTCTTTGATCGTTTGAAACAAACATAAATAAAATTCACTCACACATATTCACGTGCATATTTAAATTAATTTTAATTTAATAAATAATCGAAAATTTTATAACAAATATTATTCTTAATTAACTGATAACATGGTGTTGTACAGTGGGAACGAAGGAAAAGTATTTGAATGTTAAAAATATGTTCCAACAAAATATTACCTATAAATATTGTCTGTAATACATAATTCGGGATGTGTTAGATAGATAGATAGATAGATAGATAGATAGATAGATAGATAGATAGATAGATAGATAGATAGATAGATAGATAGATAGATAGATAGATAGATAGATAGATAGATAGATAGACAGATAGATAGATAGATAGATAGATAGATAGATAGATAGATAGATAGATAGATAGATAGATAGATAGATAGATAGATAGATAGATAGGTAGATAGATAGATAGATAGATAGATAGATAGATAGATAGATAGATAGATAGATAGATAGATAGATAGATAGATAGATAGATAGATAGATAGATAGATAGATAGATAGATAGATTAGATAGATAGATAGATAGATAGATAGATAGATAGATAGATAGATAGATAGATAGATAGATAGATAGATAGATAGATAGATAGATAGATAGATAGATAGATAGATAGATAGATAGATAGATAGATAGATAGATAGATAGATAGATAGATAGATAGATAGATAGATAGATAGATAGATAGATAGATAGATAGATAGATAGATAGATAGATAGATAGATAGATAGATAGATAGATAGATAGATAGATAGATAGATAGATAGATAGATAGATAGATAGATAGATAGATAGATAGATAGATAGATAGATAGATAGATAGATAGATAGATAGATAGATAGATAGATAGATAGATAGATAGATAGATAGATAGATAGATAGATAGATAGATAGATAGATAGATAGATAGATAGATAGATAGATAGATAGATAGATAGATAGATAGATAGATAGATAGATAGATAGATAGATAGATAGATAGATAGATAGATAGATAGATAGATAGATAGATAGATAGATAGATAGATAGATAGATAGATAGATAGATAGATAGATAGATAGATAGATAGATAGATAGATAGATAGATAGATAGATAGATAGATAGATAGATAGATAGATAGATAGATAGATAGAATCTGTTGCTGATCCCAAATATATCATATTCTAAAATAGCTTATTGCAGCCAATAAACTAATACATAGATAATATAATAAAGTAATTTTACGAGTTCCATTTCACTAGAATTTAATATTTTAAAATGTCTTTTTTACCCATGAGGTTGTCTACTTTGAACCACTGTAACATCACCTGTTCTTAATTACTGTATACCTTATAAAAATCTAATCAATTGGTCTCAAAGGTCTTGATTTATTACATTTAATTTTACGATCTTTCCCACTGTTCATTGCATTGATCCCTTGATTTCAAAGAGAGTAAAAGAGAGTGTATAAAAACTTATCTCACATTTGCAATTTTATTGTTATTATTAACCCTCTGACTTGAGCTGAGAAATAAATAGAAAGATATTATAAAAATGAACCACTAGGTCCAAAGGATCGGATATAAAATGTAGTTTATTTTTTTTTCAGATTCCAAGGAAGACAAGTTATAGGATTTGAAATTCAGGGAATTTATACGTGGAGCATTACAAATCATCGACCAACAAGAACCGAAATACTCATTCGCAATTTGATTGATTAAACTAAAATTCGCGGGAAGGGAAGCTTGGTTAAAGGATTTATGTACGGTGAAATACATATAATTTTCGGCATAAGTTTCTATTACTCCTAGTTTTCTTCTTCTAGTTTGGTCCTAGTTTCTAGGAGCGGTACAGTCCGCAAATCTATCTGATGGATGATTGGGATGTTGAGTGTTTTTTACAACCCTTCTATTGATTCTAAACTAGTGATTGCTTTTTCATTGTCGGGATACATATTGGGTTTACCTTATGATACCTAGTAAGAGATTAGATAGCTCGAGAACTTGTGCTTGTCCATGGATAGAAAGAGATGTTTGATGTGCCTGGAGCTGTTAAAACTTTAATCTTTAATTTATCGGGGATATCCCTTCATGGTTGAGTAGGTTGGAGTTTACTCTATAACATGCCAAAGATATCATAGTAGGTCCTTATCTCCACTGATATATGTCTTGTCAATTAAAAATGGATCCGTACTTCCGACTACCAATTAAGTCACTAGATTCTGTTGCCGAAACAACTGAGCCATCTCAGTAGTGTGGTTGTGCGACTTTAAGAGATGAGAATGTTCTAGGGAAATAAGCATCCCTCAATAGGGTTTGATGTTGGTTACACCCCTTCTATTGATTCTAAACTAGTGATTGCTTTTTTTTGTCGGGTTTGTATTGGGTTTGTCTCATGATACCTGGTAAGAGATTAGATAGCTTGAGAACTTGTGCTTGTCCATGGACCGGTAGAATTATACAAAAATTGACACCTGCGTGTAAATAATACAAATGGAATGTGGTGAGCCGGCAAAGAACCAATATTTTTAAAGAACTGATGACATCAAACTGCAACTAATTTTCTGAAGAAACATATAATAAATGACAATTGTGGTCCAATTGGTTCCAATCTTACATAAGGGTTAAATTAATCGTTATAAAATTGTTACTTTTATTGAAATGTTTAATTGTTGCTGCATTTTTAACTAAATTGCGCTCTTTGGCATTACTTTATGTTTCTTTCTTTAAGTTTAACGTTCATCTGTTTGTCTCTTTTGAAAATACCTTCTTCATTTTGATTTTTTTTTAGCCAAAGATAGTTTAATGCAGCAATACTTCATATATCAGATAGTTTGAGACTTTTTAAAATTCAAAGAATATTCTCTAAATTTTCCAAGTGAAATAGTTCGCGAATGAGCAAGGTTTGTCTCTGAAAACTGTCGACTTCAAGTGATTTGATTAGACCCTATTTTCATTCAAAATATATTTAAATTAAATTTTATAAGAATTTTTCTTGATTCTTGTGGATTGAGTCTTAAAAGGGTGTCTAAAAATTCGTCTTAACTGTACATTTCATGTACAATTTTGCAACATGACTAAAAGAATACTTTTCTTTGATTAAAATTAATTTAAAAATTTATTATTTGTTTGTTTATTTTCTTTAGTTTTGCTGTTATTTAACTTAACTATTCGTGCTATAATTTTTTCCAATTGAATTTGATTTTTATTAAAAAGTGTAACAACATTTTCATTTACATAAGAATTTCTTTAAAAGAAATTCAACTCAATGAACAAAATATACTTCCGTTTATGCAAAATATTATAAAAAAATTGTGGTTTATCTATTGTTGACACTGAATAGTAGTTAAATTATATTAAGAAATTACAGTAATTTGCAATTTATAAAATTATCACGAAAATTTAGAAAAATTCTAAAAGAAATACAAAATGAAAATTTTGTTAAAATTTCAATAAAAGCGTATAAGATGATAAAAAAAATATGTCTAATTTTAAATTTATGATTTACTTGGTCCAGCAAACAGATACCGATATGGAAGAAGTAGCGTGAATGGTTCATTGAGGTTAGAAACGAGGCATGGTTTGTTCATTACTTCATGATGATTATTGTCAAACTCAACATGATCTTGTGAAATCATTGTGAGTATCTCAAGCAGACATTTCAAAATCTTTGCTTAGGAAAATTGCCTATTAAACGAATTGAAGTCGACAAGATGTGGAAGTGCTTTACGTTAACACTAATTTTTTGAAGGTCTTTTTCATCCACAAGGTGAGCTTTTTGAACGACTCACACGCCGGTGGGGTTCTGCCATAGCTCGAGTACTTTGCTTAAGTACTCGAGCTACCTAATCTCTGACCATTGCTGTCCCGGCAACAGCACCTGGAGACTTAATCGGTAGATCAAAACACGAATCCATCATGGTAAATCTGGTATGAACAAAATAAACCCTGAACATACCCGGACAAGGAAGAACAATTCAATGGTATCACTTGTATTAGATACCATACGTCCACCACCATTCATCCGAGAACACTTCTCACTCGTCCGACAAACTCACTCCGTATCGTATACAATTAACACCAACTCATTTCCAGCGTTTAGTCAAACAGTCACTTCTCTCCGGGGTATTACCGAAATTATTCCGTGCATCAATATTTTAACCAACAGACGTGCACACCGAAGGGACCTCTCCAATAACTGTGACAATACAAAGTCCGAAACCCTGACCTGTGGACTACCGGTTTCCATGGTACTAGATTATGTGGTTCGATCCCATAATTCCAAGGAAAGACCGAGGATACATTTAATCATCAGTTTATAGTCCCGGCAGACTAGAGGTACTGGTAGCACTTCTTCTCCCCAGGATTGCAATAACACCAAGATGAGGGTCTTTCATCAAGGTAACATGCCTACCGAGGGGAAAGCCTACAGTCCTCGTAAGACGATGTTGCATGTTTATTATAGATAACGATAACCCGAATCGTAAGAGATCGTATGTCAAGAACGGCCTAAAAACCGATTCAGCACCAAAGCGAAATATCTATGGCGCAAAGGTAATGTCCTGTATTTGTTGGGACCAAAAGACTTCTATCTATTATAAGCAGCCGAATTGTTTAAAGCGAATACCCATATGTTGATATACCAGTTAAAAACTATACCCGCCTTATAACTAGACGTTACCTCAACCGACTACTATTTATATCTATCGATGCAGAATGCTCTGTCTGTTTTTAAGCCTCAAAAGATGAACAATCCTTTTGGTTTGGAATCGATATGTGGCAAGAAAGATGGGGAAAGATCATAGCTAACCATGACTTATATATATATATATATACATATGTATACCAATGTATATCAAAAGTATATCAATAAGCTTTCTAATAAAATATAATCATTAAACATTTGACCACCAAATAATAGACGGGGTTTTCGAAATCTTGACCCATATTTTGCAAATTATTTTAAATTACAATTAGACAATTTGTCGCAGACTTATTTATTATCAAATTTTTACTTCCTTAAAATTATGTTGAACTACGTACTATTTATACGTTTGCAATACAAAGCGAATCGCCTATTTTTCTCAATATTACTTTTACGCATTTAATTGTTTTTCAATATTTTTTTCAAAATATGTTTTTGAAAATTCTACTTATTTTTTTATTTATTTTTAATAAATAGGTATTATTTTAAAAAATATATAAATACTTTTTTTTACAAAACAATCGTTAAAATAACAATAAAGTTGTTTACCACCAGAGATGTCAAAAATTGATAAAAACCATTGACGTTAAATGTTTCACAGGAGCTGCAGCAAAACGAATGTAATAATGTAAATATATACATGTGTATATACAAATAAATATCAAATCGATTTACAATTATTGGAACAGTCAGTCAAGGAGGCGAGCTAAGGAATGAAAATACCCCCAGTGGTTTAAGACGTTGAAATTGTTTTTGTTTTTTAAAGAAAATGAAACTTTAGCGTTCATCTAGCAACGCTTAATGATCATTTACATATGAGTTTGAAACAAAAAAAATATCTGTCTTATCAGTTTTTTTCAATTTGCTGTGAAAGTTCAAAATAATACTGTTGTTTATAATTTGTTTATGTCTATTTAATTAATTGAATTCAAAAATTTTATGATTTTTTATATTTATTTGAAGGTATATGATCACGCCCACTCAAGCTGGGCATGGTAATAAAATTTTTGAAGGTTATACTATGTAGCAAAACCATAGAGGGAAATCTGTGTGTAAAGATATAAAAATGTACAGTACTACTTTCGTTTCCATACATACCTCCCAATAAATAAAGACAACAATAATTTTGAGTGGAAGTCTATAGACTAATCTATAGACTAGTCTATTGACTGGTCTATAGCCTAGTCTATAGACTGATATATAGCTTAAACTATAGTCTGGTCTATAGCTTAGACTATAGACTGATCTCTAGTCTAGTCAATAGATTGATCTATAGCATAGTCTATAGAATGGTCTATAGCCCAGTCCATAGAATGATCTATAGCATAGTCTATATACTGATCTATAGCCTAGTCTATGACTGATCTATAACCTACTATATTGACTGATCTATAACTTAGTCTATTGACTGATCTATAGCCGAGTTTATCTGACTATATGTCAATATACATATGTCACTCTATAAACTGATCTATAGCATAGTCTATAGAATGATCTATAGTCTAGTCTATATACTGATCTATAGCCTAGCCTTTAGACTGATCTATAGCTTTATCTATAGTCTGATCTATAAACTAGTATATTTACTGATCTATAGCCTAGTCTATAGACTGATATATAGCTTAGACTGATCTATAGCATAATCTATAGAATGGTCTATAGACTGGCCTATAGCTTAGACTATAGACTAATCTATAGCCTAGTCAATAGATTGATCTGTAGTCTATAAACTGATATATAGCATAATCTATAGAATGGTCTATAGCCTAGTCTATAGACTGATCTATAGCCTTGTCTATGGAGTGATCTATAGCCTAGTATATAGACTGATCCATTGCCTAGTCTACAAACTTGTCTTCAGCATAGTCCATATAAACTGATCTATAAACTGATCTATAGCCTAGTCTAAGACTAATCTATAATCTAGTCTATTGACTGATCTATAGCCGAGTTTATCTGCCTATATGTCAATATATGTGAGTCTATAAACTGATCTATAGCATAGTCTATAGAATGATCTATAGCCTAGTCTATATACTGGTATATAGCCTAGTCTATAGACTGATCTATAGCCTAGTCTATAGACTGATCTGTAGCTTAATCTATAGTCTGATCTATAACCTAGTATATAGACAGATCCATAGCTTAGTCTATAAACTTATCTGCAACATAGTCCATAGACTGATCTGTAGCCCGGTCTATAAACTGATCTATAGCATAGTCTACAGACTGATCTATAGCCTTATCTATAGACTTATCTACAGCCTTGTCTATAGAGTGATCTATAGCCTAATCTATAGTATAGTCTACAGACTTATCTACAGTCAGTCTATAGAGTGAACTATAGCGTTGTCCATATCCATGTCTATAGAATGATCTATAGTCCAGTCTATAGGCTGATCTATGGACTATTCTACAGGCTCATCTATGGCCTTGCATATAGACTGATCTATATCCTTGTTTTTAGACAAATCCTAATGATCTCAGTGATCCCAATTTTTCTAAATTAAAATAAAATTTTTAATAATGAATTTGTTTCATAGCATTACGAAACTTTTACTCGCATTTTCAAATCAAATAAAATGATGATTTTTCTAACCACGTTTTTGTATTTTTATTGCATCAGAAAAATGTAAAATGACTGAATTGATAAGAGAAATCGCATGTGATTTCTAAACTAAATTTAGAATTTTGTTGCAAATTTTTTTCTTATTATGGAAGGTTTTTATTAGAAATTTTCCATGTTTTGTTTTCAATTTTTCAATCAGACCCCCAGTCATAGTGACGGAGCAAATAGTAAACAATTTGAAATTGTTGTTTACCTTTCGAATTGTTTGTTTTGAAATTATCAGTGTAAAAAGGGTTTAGTTGAGATTCGTGCAGTTACTAGGACATGAGATTATAAAATAAAGCAGACTAGAATATGAAAACGTATGATTTTTGTAGATATTTCGCTATTTCAGCAGTTTAAGGGTATCAAAAGAAAATATATGTCTGGTTATAGTTTTAGTTAGCTGGACCTGAAAGATTTCACGTACTATTTTATTTAATATGGGAATACTAGCAGACTATTTAATATTGTTTGCGTGATAATATCATTAATCAAAATACTGCATTATTGTGATATAATTTTTAAAATTCTATGCTGTTATTTAAAAAAGTTTTGATTACATTTAATCTAATAAAAATCATTAATACAATTGTCAGTTTAAAATGATTTAATTTAAATCTTATGTAAGTTGTAATTTATATTCATATATTAACTATTCTAGAACTTTCTTTGAGCTATTTATAGTTAAACAGTTTAAATTAGTTAAACGCTGAACAATTGACATATTTTTACCGAAAACTTCTTGCCCTCAGATTCTTTTAAACTCACTTCTTTTAAAACCTCTCTCATTGAGTGAAAACAGTCACTCAAAAAACAAGAATTTCTACAATGCAAGAGTCACTGTCAACTTCCACTTTTCGAACACTGCTTCGAAATATTCTACGGTAAATTTCCATAGTCGTCTTAAAATCGCTTGAGTGTATTGGAAATTTCCATTAAGGGTTTTTAAGTTTTAAAGAAAACTAATGAATGGAATTTTACCAAACAACAGAATTTTTACTATACCTACTACTTAGTTGTTGCTAAACACTTTCCACATTGTTTCTTGTCACTTTTCAAAATCATGTCAGTATAAACAACAACAGAAAAAATATATCTGTTCAAATGTCCAATTCACCTACCTGTTGTAAAGGTGTTTGAAGTAATTCTTTTTTAAGCCCTTGTGTGTGGTAGTCGGTGTTTTTCAATTATATTCGAAACATCCCGATAAGAAATGTATTTTAAAATTTGCATGGTTTTTTCCTTTGCATGAGCAAATCGATGTTGTTGACCAATCATCATTATTATGAAATGTTCTGTGTTACACACACAGCTGATAAGATGGATTCTCTAGAAATTTGTTAATCCATGTTGGAAATGCACCGATTTTGTAAATTGCTATTTTTTTTGCAATTCATCATTCCATTGTAGTTTGTGAGTGAATTTGTTGTACTGCTGTGAATGAATGGGCCAGCATATTCTGTTTTAGTTATGCAGGTTTTAATCTGGATTAGTTTGGCATTTGTGATAACTGTCATATTATTTTACCTAGAAATTGCAAACAATAAATAAATATTGGATTCTGAAGTTGTTCAAATACAAAGATTACTTAGAATTGTTGACAGTTTAACAAGGACATTGAAGTCCCGTTTAAGAGAAAATAATTAAAGGTGCATGAGGAGAAATCATCATAAATCAAAGATTTCAGTTCACTGCATTTAATTACACATTTCAAAATTTATAGAAAATTCTTTACAAATTATAAAATTTATTTCAAAGAAAATTAAATTTATCGGAAAATTTCTATAAAATTATAATTCATCGAAAATTTTTAATAAAAAAGATTAAAGACTAGACTATTGACTAGACTATAGACTAGACTATAGACTAGACTATAGACTAGACTATAGACTTGACTATAGACTATATTATAGACTAGACTACAGACTAGACTATAGACTTGACTATAGACTATATTATAGACTAGACTACAGACTAGACTATAGACTAGACTATAGACTTGAGTATAGACTAGACTATAGACTAGACTTTAGACTAGACTATAGACTAGACTATAAAC